ATATTATCGTTTATAATTGTAAGGCCCCAGGGTTTCTGAAAAATCGTTGAATAACCCAAGAATTGTTTTGTTTTCGGAGGTCCCCCCCCTGGGAAAACTTCAGAAAAGCCGCAGAGAAACCCCCGAGTTGGGTTTTTTTTCCTGGGGTTCCCCCTCCAGAAAACCCTCGACCCCCCCCTCCGAAGAAACATCAGAAAAACCATAGGAACACACCCCAATGGGGGTTCTTGGGGGGGTTCGACGAACTGCCGCATCCAACTGTGCGCCTGATCCCTCGCAGCCGGTCCTCAGAGATCTCGTTCAGGCGCGCTCTGTGCCGCAGAGGGTCAGTTTTTGCGGTCCAGAGAAGCGCGAAGCCAAGATCGCGGACGCGCGCCACGTCGCGAGTTTCCTAATGCAGCTACTTGCCATTGCCCGCTGCGCCGGGGTGGCCCTCCCGCCAACCTGGCGCAGCTCCTCCTTGGTCATTGCCGTGCTCCTCCAGACGGGTGCGCGCGGCGTCCTTCCGTCGCCGCCACCCCCTGCCCACTTGGCGCGTCCTCCTTGCTGCGGCTGCGCTGCGGGAACTCGACGATTTCGTTTTGCCGCTGGGGCCTCAGCAACGTCGGCGACTTTCCCGAGGCTTTCTTCGGCCTCGCAGCACCCTGTCACCCTGGGGACCATGATGTCTGGGATATGGTATATGGTGCTAGCCAACTACCCGGTCTCCACCGACGACATTGCGGATTGCCGCGCCGCCATCGAGTCTTCTGTCAAAGCGGTCTCGCGTCTCGTCGTGTACGCCCCAGGGGGTGGGTCCTCCAGTAGATGGACAATATATTCGAACCCTGTACACATTCCAGGGAGACTCTAAGTCACCCCCGCGCCCCCGATATCAATGTTGATCTCAGTAAAGGCGGTGCTTTGGGGTTCGAATATTTCTGTCCACTCACGCCCCCCCCCGTTGCAACGCCATCAGTACGCGCGGGTCGTTGAAAGTAGGTGTTTTTGGACTCCTAGGTCTCAATCTATTTTAGGCGCCTTCCTACTTCAAGGGTCGAGCGGTTTTCCCTCTTCCCTCCTCTTCAGGGGGCAGGCGGAAGCCCAGTCTACTTTCAACGCTTTCCTACTTCATGGTTTTACCCACTTTTTCCGACTGGCGTGTATTAATTTCAGGCGGTCTGGGGGGCATCTTGGGCCACAGGGTTCGAATCTAATGTCCATGCACGGTCCACCAGCGCCGCCGACCGCCTCGCCCATGCCGCGGAGTCCCGACTGGACTTCCAGCCCGACGAGCGGGGCCTGTCTGCGCGTGCAGCCCGCCCCCCCTGGCTGCCATCGCTCCTGGCTCGCCCGCGGGGCTGGAGGGCTGCTGCCGGGTCTGCCTTGCTCTGGCAGACGCCAGGGTGGCAGCCGCCCCCCCCCCCCAGGGCTGGGGGCGGCCCCGGGTCGACCCCTCGCCTGCCGCGAGCGCCCCCCAGGCCTCCTTGGCCCCACGGGCGGGTCCGCCTCTCGGGACCACGAGGCGCAGGCGTCTTCATTGGGGCGCGCCATAGACGCCCGCAGTCCCGCCTCTATGGCCGCCCTCGTCACTGGTCTCATCGACCGTGGGGGCTGCGGGGAGGATTGGCGCGCCTTCTGCGAGCGCTGCCGCGCCGGACAGGCACGGCTGCGGAAGGTGACTGCCAAAGCTTCCACCTTCTCCAGGCTTCAGCTCCGTGACTGTCTGACCGCCCTCTGGGGCGCGCGCGGTCGTCCTATGCTCGGCGCGCGCGGGCTCCCCCGGGCGCGGGAACCTCCCGCTCGGCTCATCCACTCGCCGTGTCTTCCTGGGCGGCGGCCATTCGCCCCGCGACAATGGCGCCGAGCGCCGGGGCTCGCGGGCCTGTGGCGACTCCGAGCGGGGCTGCTGCGTCTCTGCCAGCTCTCCCGAGCCGCCTCCCGGCGGTGGCCAGTCCCGTGCCTCCCCCGCGCCCGCTCCGCCGGGGCGGCTCGCGCTGTCCTCGCCCTGCGGGGTCCTCAGACGCCGCCGCGCACCCGCGCCTCCACCGCGGGGGGGCGCCTGCCGCGGAGCCCCCCCGCCAAGCCTCGCGTGATCGGCTGGCGTCGACGGGCTCGGCTGCGCAGTCCAGCCCAGGCCCCCCTCGCGGCCGCGTTGGTCCCGCTGGCGGTTTCCCCCGCCCTCCCCGCGCCCTCTTGAGCCTCCCCCAAGGGCAGTTCCTCGCCCTCGGCGACGACGTCGGGGCAGGCGCAGCGGGCTGCTGTGCTGACCCCCTGAGCGCGGCGACGAGCCCCGCTTCCTGCGCACTGCTTGGCGGAGCTTTGGATTGCGCTGCGGCTTCTCGCGCTGGGCGTTGAGGGCCTGCCAATCGAATGGCGCGCTCTCGCTGCGGCATGTGCCGTCCCTGCCTCTACGGCTGGCCCCTGGGCAGGTCCCCGCCCGCCCTCGGCAGCCCGCTCTCGCGGTCGTGGCGCCGCCGCTCTGGCGAGCATTCGCGGCTCCAGAAGTGCGGCACTCGGGCTTCGTCCCTACCGCGATGTTGGATGTGTGGAGATGGACGGAGACCCGCTTGCGGGGCGGATTCTGGCATTTCTTCCCAATGGGGGCTCTCTCTACGCCGCTGCGCCCCTTGTCGAGAGCTTTCCTGGGGCGCCCGACTCGCCCCGGCCTGCAAAGGCCTCGCTGAATCGTCCCCCGGCCAGAAAGAAAATTAGCCTGGCGAAGGACCCAACCATATGCAGTTGTGAGTACCGTCTTTGTGAGCAACGCATTCGGTGGAGTTCCCTATGGGGCCACGGAGCGCTGTGCTGGGTGTGGCGGACGCATGCGCCCCCCTCCACTGGGGCTTTCGGTGGAGCTCCCCATGGGGCCACGAAACGCTGTGCTGGGTGTGGCGGACGCATGCGCCCCCCTCCCACTGGGGCCTTCGGTGGAGCTCCCTATGGGGCAACGAAGCGCCGTGCTGGGTGTGGCGGACGCATGCGCCCCCTCCCACTGGGACCCTCGGAGGAGCTCCTTATGGGGCCACGAAGCGCCGTGCTGGGTGTGGCGGACGCATGCGCCCCCTTCCAGTGGGGCCTTCGGTGGAGCCCTCTATGGGGCCACGAAACGCCGTGCTGGGTGTGGCGGGCGCATGCGCCCCCCCCACTGGGACCTTCGGTGGAGCTCCCTATGGGGCCACGAAGCGCCGTACTGGGTGTGGCGGACGCATGCGCCCCCCTCCACTGGGGCCTTCGGTGGAGCTCCCTATGGGGCCACGAAGCGCCGCGCTGGGTGTGGCGGACGCATGCGCCCTCCCCTACTGGGACCTTCGGTGGAGCTCCCTATGGGGCCACGACTCGCTGTGCTGGGTGTGGCGGACGCATGTGCCCCTCCCCACTGGGGCCTTCGGTGGAGCCCCCTATGGGGCCACGAAACGCTGTGCTGGGTGTGGCGGACGCATGCGCCCCCCTCCGCTGGGGCCTTCGGTGGAGCTCCCTATGGGGCCACGAAGCGCCGTGCTGGGTGTGGCGGACGCATGCGCCCCCTCCCACCAGGACCCTCGGAGGAGCTCCCTATGGGGCCACGAAGCGCTGTGCTGGGTGTGGCGGACGCATGCGCCCCCCTCCACTGGGGCTTTCGGTGGAGTTCCCTCTGGGGCCACGAAGCGCCGTGCTGGGTGTGGCGGACGCATGCGCCCCCCCTACTGGGACCTTCGGTGGAGCTCCCTATGGGGCCACGACGCGCTGTGCTGGGTGTGGCGGACGCATGCGCCCCCCCCGGCGGGGCCTTCGGTGGAGCTCCCTATGGGGTCACGACACGCTGTGGTGGGTGTGGCGGACGCATGCGCCCCCCTCCACTGGGGCCTTCGGTGGAGCTCCCTATGGGGCCACGAAGCGCCGTACTGGGTGTGGCGGACGCATGCGCCCCCCTCCACTGGGGCCTTCGGTGGAGCTCCCTATGGAGCCACGAGGCGCTACCATCTTTGTCGAAAGCCAATACCCATTGTTGTGTCTGGTAGGCTTGCGCACAGCAGGCCATAAGCCACCGCCCCCCGCCGTCCCTGTCAAAAACCAGTTGACAGTGATCGCGGGGTGACCGCGCATGACCCAGATTTTGCCGCGAGGTGCATTTTTTTTTTTTTGGGGGGGGGGGGGAAGCCCTGCGCGCAGCAGGCAATATGCTGACACCCCCGCCGTCCCTGTCAAAAGCAATACCAAGTGCTCGCTGGCCTCACGAGCATGACTCCAGATTTTGGCCCAAAATGTATTTTGTATGGTTTTCGACAGGGATGGTGGGGGGTGCCGCATCGGGTTGGCCGCGCATGCTCCAAATGTGGAGGCAGAGTGCGTTTTGCATTGTTTTTTGACTGGGATGGTGGTGGTGTGTGTGTGTGTGTGTGTGTGTGTGTGTGTGTCAGCGTGATGTCCTCATGGTTCCTGGTTGGCTGCCGGTAGCCTGGGGAGGGCGTGTATATTAATAGGGAACAGTGATAAGCCCTTCCTCCGAGCAGGGGAAGGAGGGATTTCAGCAGAGAAACGACACAGAGGGCTGGTGGGGTTCGCATGAAGCAGATACCAGGGCCGCCTCGGATCCTCTTGAAACCGTCGTTATACCCCTGAGACTGGCCTGGGGCCATGTTCGGCCTGTTGTGGCCGGTGTTGGGCTCCTTGGGGCCGTCTTGATGCCGTTCTTGCGCACGAATATGCCACTACTGATAGATGGTGGAGCGTTCGGGCCTACACTTGGATTCACTTGGGACTGTCTGGGGGCTTCCTGGCGCTTTCATCATGGTGCCTCGAGGGCTGTCTTTGCTGTCTGATCGTCTGGTCAGCCGTCAGAGTTTGCGTGTTGGGCTTCTTGGGGCCTACCTTGGGCGATCTTAGAATCATTACATATTCGAAGCGAAACATGATTGTGACTCGTGACGTGCACAAGCGTGCTCAGAGGAACAAAGCATTCACGAGCGTGACACGGCCCCTCTGTCTTCACGCACATGCCTTCCATCTGGCCCATGGCTGGTCTCAACGGCTTCCGCTTCGGCTCGAGCTCAGCCAGCACTTTCCTCCTTGTCAAATTTGCAGGGGCGGGCATGGCTGCTCCCATGGTCGTTTCGCGATTGTCCCCGCGCGAGCGCTGTTGCATTGTGAGCGTGCTCGTTTTGCTCACCTCCGAGGCTTGCTTCTTGTGCAACAACCCCAGCGGCCGTGTCAGGATCGTCGGGCGGCCGTGCCTCCACTGTCGTCCTGATGCTACCGCAAGTGAGGCGTTGTACGGGCGTTTTGCTGGTCTGGTTGAACGCCCAGCATGTGCGCTCATGACGTCAGAGCGAGTCCGGGCCGCAGGCTTGGCGCTGTCCCGACTCTACGACGCGGGAGAACTGGAACGTTGTGTCACTCGTGCAGTAGAAGTGCTCGGCGCTGGTAAGTTGATGCGGTCACCGGGTGTGATTGACGACAGAGTCTTAGATTCGATTTGGCCAGCAGGAAGAGGCGGTCGCGATTCACTGAAGGACTTAGCGCAGCTGCTCAGCATAGGGACCAATGAAGCTATTGGATTTTCTGTCACTCGCGGCTCGCCGTTGCTCGAACCCTTGGATGGCAAGTGGCAAGGAGGTCTTTGCAAGCTATCTTTAGAAGACGCTGGAGCCTCCTGGGGGCCCCTGGCCCGCTGGCGGGTCACCTCTGGGCCTCCAGAGCTTCATGGACTGCACCTGGTTGCTTGGCAGCGTGTTGACCCACTGACTGGCAGAACCTACCGAAGCCGTGCAGAGCTATCATTTCTTGGCACATTTGCCTTGCAAGCGCAGCCTGGAGATGTTCTGCAATTGGCGAGATCAGATCGAGCTGCTTACCTTGAGGTTGCAACATTTGATCGTTTGCCGTTCTCTGCACCCCTTGTTCGCGAGGATGACCTTGCAGAACTGGGCATGTCATTTGTGGATTTGGGCAGCGAGTTCATGGAAGCGCGCCATTTTGCACAGAAGCAGAATCAGCTCGGGCCTGCGGAAGCCCGCAGAGCGCGTATCAAGCGTCTTTCCACTTTTCCGATTTTCAGACAGGCGCTCTTTGTGGCTAAGCGTGACGCAGTATGGACTCGCTTGCTACCCTCGTTGGCCCCTTTCGCCTATGCTGTTTACGAGGCGGCGGAGTCGCAATTGCCCCGATTCTGGTCTACACCAAGCCAGCCCGTCGACAACCCTTCTGGATTGCAAGTCATTGTTGCCACGACGCTGGCAGCCGGTGCACTGCTTGCAGTTGCAGGCTTCGTTGCTCTCAATGGCCCTTCGGCCTTTGACCCCCTGAAGGATTGGCTGAGGTCAAACGTTGGCTTCGACTCCAGGCCGTCCTGGACTGACCTGTAAGGTGCACAAGCTTGGCCTCATCATCGAACTACATGCGCAGCCGAACACATTTATCAGTACGGCGTGTGAGCCCTATGTGTGGAACCCTAAGTGTGGAAGCCTAAGTGTCTGTGTGGACCCCTAGGCGTGGATGTTTAGAGCCCCATGCGTGGAATCCCATGTGTGCTGAGCCAGATACAGGTGTGCGGAATCCTACAAGTGTGGACCGCTCGTTTGGCCGTCCGTGGATGGTCTTCGGGCGTCTTGAAGCCGTTTCGGGGCCTTCTTTTCGTGCCTTGGGGTTGTCCAGAGACTGCAGCAGGCGCTGGAGGGCAAAGCCGTGGTGGGGGTGGGTTTTCGACCCTGGTGCGTGTCGAGGGTTGGGGGGGCGGCGGCCCTTGCAAACTAAAGAAGCCATACCAGACAACCAACAAGCATTCCAAAACGCCCCAACGTGCCGAAGGCACGGTGGCGGATGTGTGGACCTCAATGCGTGTAAATCTACGTGTGTGGAACCCTGTGCATGTGGAGCTCTATGTGTGCAGAACCCTCTGTACGGTACCCTTTGCGTGGTTCCCTGCTTGTGGAACTCTATGTTAGTGAATCTCTATGAGTTTACGACCGCACACGTTTGTGTATGTACTCCTATGCGTTTGGACCCCACGTGTGGAAATCCATGTGCACTGACCTCTTTTTTTGCAGTACTCCCCGTAACCGTGGCCTCAATGCTATCAGGCAGGCGGACGCAGTGGCTCCCATCGGGAGCCAGTCCATTCCGAGCACTCGTCAGTCCAATGAGCTGTTGACGACACGAACATTCTCGAGGTCATTTCGCAAGCCTGAAGTCGCGACACCCGCGGGGCTCAGCTGCGGCGTCGGGCCGTGCGTCTAACGCATGCCAGGGGCAGCGCGCCCACACACCCGCACTAGCCTCGGCCCACCGAGACGACACACAGAGTCCCCATTGCCCTGCACTTGGGCATGGCCCCAGGTCCGCCCAAGGGAAGAATCGCCACTGCACGCACCACATCTCTCTCTCTCTCTCTCGTTTTTTTTTTTTTTTTTCTTTTCCCCCTCTCTCTCTATATATATATACATCAGGCAGGGGAAACTGCATCTGGTTCTTCGACGAAAAAACTAAGCAGCGAGCGCTGCAATCGAAGCCCGTCCCATGCGTGCGTGTCGCCGCCTCGGGCTCCACGGGAGCGTCCGCCGAGCGGTCGGCCTCGGGCCGGCCTCCGTCGCAGCCGCTGCAGCGCGGCGCGGCCTGGCGCTCGCGGCCACGTCCGCGGCCTGCACGCTTCGCAGCGCCTTCACAGCCACGGCGTCGGGCTAAGCCAGGGGCTGGATGTCGCCCGCCACCGCTGGCACTTCGGCGGCCTCGCACACGGCCTCCTCGAGCGTGGGCCTCGTCCCGCCCCGCGGCCACCTCCACGGCCTCCGCCAGGGGCCAGGCGACGTCGGACTCGGCCACCCCGTTGCCCCGCCCTCCAGCGGCATCGTGTCGACAGGCGCCACGCCGTCCAGCGCTGCGCCGTCCCTCAGCGACTCCACGTCCGCCATGGTCGCCGCGCCGCCGTCGGCAGCGTTCAAGGTGGGTTCTTCCAGACAGTCCGCGCACCCGTTCCGCCTGCTCCTCGTCGGGAAGGGCATCGAACATGGCGCCGGACCCCAGGAGCTCCGCCTGCCGAGGGCGGCGGCCACCCCGCCGCCCACTGTGCCAGCCTCGGCCTCGCCCTCCAGCCGAGGGAGCGACTCCATGTCGGGCAAGGCGACGAGCAGGGCGTCGGCTGCGGCTTCGCCCGCCAGCACCTCGTTCACGCCCGCCACCAGCTCCTGCACCACCACCTGGTCGTCCTCCACGACGGCGTCGATCGGGGCGGCGGCCCGCTCCCCGTCGGCGCTGCTCTCGGCCTCGCAGTCCCGCATGCCCTCGGGCGCCGCGCCCTCCAGCGCAGTGTCGGGCCCCAGCGGCTCCACGTCCGGCATCGCTGTCGCCCCGCCGTCCTCAGGCCCGTCATGGGTGGTGCATTCCAGAGCTCTTGCTCGGCCGTCGAATCGTCAGCGTCGACGTCGGGCGGGGCGACGGGCTGGGCGAGCCAACAGCAGACTACTGCCCTCACCACGTCGGCCTGGCTGGCCAGCTGGAGCTGGGCACAGAGCACCACAATGCTCTCCGCCTCGGGCTCCGCGTCCCCGTCGGTCTTCACGGTGTTCAGGGCCAGGTCGAATGATGCGGCCTGCGCCGCCAGCTGGGCGGTCGAGCACGGCGACGCCTTCCACGACCTTGCCCACGCCAGCTGTGGCCGCCAGGCGCGCCGCCTCAGCCTCGTGCGCCTGCGCTGTCACCACGGCCACCATCACCGCTAAGGCGCAGCGGTCGGCCTCGGCCCCCGGTTGCCCTCCCCTGGCGAGCACCGCCATGGGCGGGGCATCGGTCTGCCTGGCACTGGCGACGCCCACCTCGGTGTCCACCGTCTGCAGCCAGGCGCGCCCCGTGGCGTCCACCCACTCGACGCCCCCCAGCACCCGCACAGCCGAGGCCCTCGCACACGCCCTCTGCCGCCCGGCCGGGCCTGGCGCTGGGCTGGGCGTCGGCCCGCCGCTCGCGCCATGGCCACCCGCCAGCATCAGCCCCTTGCTGGCCCGCCGCGGCTGCCAGAGAGGCGGCGTCCGCCGCCCCGGGCACCATCTCGCTCCGTGCTCCTCGCTCGACCTGCCATCCGCGCCCTCCTCGCGATCGGCCTCGAGTCCAGGCTGCAGAGCTCCCACCTCTTCGGGCCCCGAGCGGGGTCCGATTGGGGGCTCGAGCCCAAATGGCTACGGGCCATGGGAACGGACCCGTAGTCATGCGTGGAATAGCGTTCGTGTGGCTGATGTCATTGACCCTCTCGCACAAGAGAGGATGGAACCACTTGGCAAAGCCCAAGAGCTGGAACAGTCGTCCAAGATCCCGAAGACGCCCCTCGGAGTCCTCCAGGAGCTCCACAGACGCCCCCGAGATGATCCCAAGACGCCTCAAGACAGCGCCCAGAAGGCCCCAGCAGCCCAGATGCGCCATATGCGCCTCAAGCAACCACCAAGAGCTCCCAAGATGCCCCCAGGAGTCCCCTAGGGCTTACTGGGCCTCTCCGACCGCCTGCGGGGCTCAAGAAGGCACGAGAGTTCCTTCTTTCTGCTCCTCCTTCTCCTTCAACCTCGCCGTCGTCGTCGTCGTCCTCCTCTTCCTCCTTCTCCTTCGCTTGCTCCTGCTGCTGCTGCTGCTGCTGCTGCTCCTCCTCCTCCTCCTCCTCCTCCTCCGTTGCCATTTTGGCTCAAGGTGGGGACAGGCCCCATTGGAGTTGAGGCAGCCTCTCTTCCGAGGCCATCCTGGAGTCAGGCCCAGGCGGACACCTTTCCTCCCTCTGTCGAGATCCCGCCCGAGCAGGCAGGGTGCAGTGTTGATTCTTTTGCGCTATCAGAAGCATGGCGCTTTGGGGCGATGCGATTGCCCAGCTTGGGCAGCTGCTGGATTCACGGTTCACGCCCTTGAACGCGAAGCTCGACACCACTATCCGTGATGTGAAGGCACTGGACGAGAAGCTTGACTCCAGCGTCGCTGAGATGCACATGGAGCAGGCAAGCTTGAGGCAGGCCCTCTCGGACCTCCAGGCGCAGGTGCACAACTCTTCCGAGATCGGCAGCACCCCCTGCGACGACGACATGGCTCCTGGAGATGCTTGGTCTCGTGCATCATCGTCTCTCGTCACTTCTGCGCAGCTGGAGGCCCGTCTGGTGAAGACGGAGCAAGCCATTGCAGAGACGGTCACGGCTTCCCTTTCGACAACACCCTCCTCGGCTGGCTCGGATCCGTGGAGCTCGTTCGAACGCTCGTCGGGGGCCAAGAGGTCGCACGAGGGCGCGCCTGTCCGCCATCGTCAGTTTGCTGTGCCGCCTTCGCTGCTGCCTCCCACACCAGTGACGGGGACTGGGGACAGGTGCGAAGTCTGGATCAGAGGCTTCCCTCGGAAACTCTTGTCGAGGGTCTTTCATCACCACTTCGCGCAGGTGACAGCGGCTGCGGACTTGTTGCTTGACGACGCTACGGCCCAGTGTCAGAGTTACAATTACTGCTACAACATTCGGTTTCCGTCTGAGGATGCTGCTCGCGCCTTCTTCTCGTGGGGAAAGGAGTCCTCGTCCTCGGCTGTGCTGTCTTGGTGGGGCCCAACGAAGCTCGAGGATGTCACGCTGAGGTGGGGCTACGACCAGGCGCTTCACATTCGTCGCAACAGTTTTGCCCTCGGCAAGTGCTGGGAAGAGATGAAGAAGCTGTTCGTGGATAGTAAGGTGCCGAGGGAGTCGTACACGCTCGGATCCAACCCGCACGCTGGCTTCCTGCACCTGACGTGCTTGGCGGAGGAGTATGTATGTATGTATGTATGTTTGTATGTATGTATGTATATATATATATGACTTGGTGAGGCTGAGCCCTGGCTCAGACTGTGGTGGGGGGAAGGACGCTTTCACGATCACTGTTCTCGACGATGCGTGCTCCGTGGCTTCGTCGACCGCCAGCTCTAGTTCCTGGACTCTGAGAGCAGCTCTGAGTCAGAGCTGAATGCTGGTGTCGGGCATGCGCCTGGCATTCCGCGCTCTGTGTGCCGCTTCTCTCTGTCCAGCGCTTCGTTCCCTCCCTCATCCGTGCATGTTACCTTTGCACGCCATCCTCTGGGTCTGTCTGCTGGTTTCTCTGTTGCATGTCCTTGCTCAGCTGCTCTCTTTGGAAGTGTGTGCGTGGGGTGATCGCACCCGCCAGTGCAAGATATACGCGTGGCTTCGCAAACTATTCTCACAGTACCAGGCAATTATCTTGCAAGAGACTCACGGATCGTTGGCTGACCTCGCCACGTTAGATGGGGAGTTCCCTGGATTCTACCATGAAGGCTATTTTTGATCAGATCAACGTTCGGGGCGGTTGCAACTCGTGTTCCGCTTGCCCTCCTAAAATCTTTCTCTGTATTTCGGGTTCAGCAGGTGCAAGCTGGGAGATGTCTGGTCTTGCATCTGGAAGGGGCCTCTGGAGCTCTCTGCATTGGGAACATTCATATCGACCCTGAGCTTGACAGACGACAAGCACGTAATCTTCTCTTCAGGTTTGCTCGTGCCCCCCCCACCCTCGTGATGCAGCATGATTTCTTGCAGGTGGGGGCTGGAACTTCCACGAGAGAGGGGGGTCCAGGCGGCGTTTGTTAGATGATCCCAATCCTCGTGTTGATAGTGTGCTTCTCGATCGTCTCAATGATCTCTTCTCCCAGTTGGTCGAGACTACGCGGGCTGAGTGCGCGCGTCGTACCGTCAGGAGCGTTGATGGGAAGCCTCGTGTGCACACTCTTGCGCGCCTTGAAAGCTCCTGCCGGCGAGGTCCTAGAGCGGCATGCGCGCGCACGAGTGAATGGGCACGTGCATGATCTTGAGTTTCCTTCTGACCACGTGCCAGTCTTTGTGCAGATATGTCCTGGTGCCGCTTCTGGGCCTTCTGTTCCTAGATGAGTCTCTAAGCATCCTGAATATGAGTCTCTCATGAGCGAGCTGACCAGGGACATCTATGACATGGACGCCATGATGTTTACCCACTATGAGAAATTCCATGAAGAGCTAGCGGCGCTATATCGGGGAGAAGCGTCGGATGCTCTGGAGGCCCTTTACGATCCATTGCCTGGGGTGGGAGAGTTGCCCGGCGACTTGCCCGATGATGTACCTCCGCCCGACTCTCGCTTGCCCGACGACGTGCCCGATGATGTGCTTCGCCGCGCCCCTGCGGCCTCTTCTGCACGTCCATGTGCAGAACCAGCTGGCCCTATGATGACCAGGCGCAGCTTGCCAGCGCCAGGTTCTGCTGGGCCTGGCGGGCAAACTGGCGGGCAGAGCGCGGCGCGTCCGTGCTCGGGCCGGAAAGGTCTGAGGGGCCAGACTGCTGACGAATTAGATCATGTCCGTTCTAGACAAGTCGCTCTGCCTCGTCTCGATGATCCGCTGGCTGCGGAAGATCAGCCTGCTCGGGGGAAAAGGCGCAAGCGGAAGTCCTGCAAGCGATCTCAGTTGCTCTTGCACCCTGAGCTTGCCAACGCAACCGATCCTCGTGCTGAACGATCTATCGTTCTTCTAAAGGATTGATCACCCGCTCGATGTAAGCTCCATCGTTTTTTTTTTTTTTTTTTTTGGGGGGGGGTTGATGAGTCTGCCGAGAATCTTGCGGCCCACTTGGGACCGATGCACGCGGCGCAGGAGGCGTCCCGCCCATATTCGACCGCGTGCTAGATGGGCTCAGGTTGCGCGTCCACCCTATTTCTCCTGGCCTTGAATGGTTCATTGATGAGTCTGTCTTTGCTGGTGTTCTCCCTTCTCGGCATGATTCCACACGCCTGGGCCAGACAGTGTTCCTTGCAGTGCGTGGAAGAAGGCGGGCCCTGTTGTCCATCAGCGTCTCCTTCGTGTGTTCTGTGCCCTCGCGGACTTCCAGAAGCTCCATCGTGGGTTCAACAGGGGCACGGCCGTCGTCTAGCCCCAAAACAGACGTTGAGTTGGCTGGGTCTACTGTGCTGGCCCCCCAAAATACGATGACGCTCACCATGAGTAGCGCCGACAACAAGATCTTCTCGGCGTGTCTTGGGATTCCGTTCATGCAACAGGCCCAGCATGGAATCTCGCGGTCTGCTGCTCGTGGCTTCACCAAGGGGCGCAACATCCTGGACAATATTATCGGACTTGACTCTTGGTTCTTGGAATGGTGTGTCTGGAGGGGGGGGGGGTATCCGAATGCTGGGGCGCTTCCTGGATATTGCAGCGGCTTTTCCGTCTCTGAGCCACCAGTTCATGTTCGATATGATTGCTGTCCTCCGCGCCCCCCCCCCCCCCCCCCCCCCCTGCGATCTTGAAAGCTGTGGAGTTCTTGCGCGACCGCGTTGAAGTCGATCTGCTCTTTCGTGGAAAGAAGTGTCCTGGCTGGATGGTCGCGCGTGGCGTGAAGCAAGGATGTCCGCTGGTAGGGCTTCTCTTTGTGCTTGCAATGGTCCCAGTGTTGCGTGCTCTGGAGGGGCGGGGCTCGCTTCGTCCTGCTGCTCTCTACTCTTTCGCCGATGATGTGGGGATTGCCTTTGCTGGCCTCTGTGTGTCTCTGCCTGTCATTCTCACGTGGATGTCTCGGCGTGCTCAGGTCACAGGTCTTTGTCTGGACCTTGACAGGTGTGTTCTGGTCGTTCCCGGGGTTACTGAGCCAGCAGTGATCATTGCAGGTTGGCGTCTTGAGATTATTCTGGCTCGGTTCCAGATCCGTCAGTGTGGGGAATATCTTGGAGTGTTTCTCGGACCTGGGGGATGCGATGCCTCCTGGGATGGTCCTTGTCATAAGTTGCTGGAGCGTGTTGCGGGCGTGCGTTCCCTTCGTCTGTCTCTGTCGCACAACCTGCATGCGCGCGACATCTTTGGGCTTCCTGTGCCCTCTCATGTCTGGCAGCTTTTTCCTGTGACACCTCATGTTCGGAAGGCGGAGCGCACTGCCCTGCAGAGACTTACTGCTGCCCTCGACACGCTATTCCCAGCGACCTGTTACGGCACATCGCGGATATTGGGATTCAGTTCGAACCCAAAAACTTGGAGTGTTCTGCTCGGGCTGCCATGTTTCGTGCTGCTGCAGGCTCGCGAAAGTTTTTTTTTTTTTTTTTTTTTTGGGGGGGGGGGCATGGGGCGCTTTCATCACCTGTTTACTGGAGTTCGGGACCTTGATGTGCTGCTTCTTCCCAGGTTTCCTCGGTGGTGGGAGTCGCCCGCCACCTTCTCGATGATGCGTTGCTGGAGAGAGTTGGCTGCTCTTGCTCCTCACCTTCGTGATCCCGAAGAGACTGGTGTCCAGAGGGAGATGTATCGATTCCTGAAGTTACGTCGTCGTTCCCCTTCCCAGGTTCCAATACTTTTCAGGCGTGTGCGGTATATCTGGCCAAAGCCCCCCCCCGTCGGTGATCGTGTTTTCTTGAATCTTCTCATAGCAAAGAGTAAACTTGTCCCCCCTGTTGGCGTCGCCTATTTGCGGACTGTGTGCAATGCGTGGCCGACCGCGCGTAGATTTCGACGAGGGGCGGACATCTGCCGCTTCGGCTGCTGCAGCTTGGGCGGAGACCAGGTGGCCTATTTCTTCTTTTGCCCCTCGTTGTTGCCTCTTCTTCCTCGCGTCGTTCGCTCCCCCCCATCGTGCTTCCTTTCGCTTTCTCCATCGGCTTATGTTTGCCGTTCAGCTCCCAAATATGACCCCAGAGGAGTTTCACTGAATAATGTTAGTTCACGACCTTATTTATGCCACAATTTCTTGCGTGCTGGAAATAGATGCGGCCCTGGCGGAGCTCGGCATTTAATTGTCGCCCGAGCTCCAGTCCTCGCCAGACGTCGCGCAAAGCTGAGGGGTCTGCTGACTCGCTCGTGGGCCAGCGTGGCGAGAGACGCAACTGAAATGGGGGCTCTTCCTCCTCCTCCTTCTCCTCCTCCTCCTCCTCCTCCTCCTCCTCCCCCCTCTCCTCGTTTCTTCGACGGTGGGCGGCGGTTGCGGCGACACTGCTGGCAGTTATTTCAACGGGGGTGGGGTGGGGGGGCGCATCGGCGCGGTATTGCAGGTGGTGCGTCAACGCCCGCAACGGTGGTGGAACCGCGCCGACAAGTAACGGTGCTCGACTGGCGGCGCGGCGAAACGAAGTGCAGACGGAGGGGGCAGCGACGCCGGTGGCCCCCCCATCGACATCGAATCGCGCCGTTGGAAGCCTGCAGGATGAGCGTCGCAAGCAGGCAGAGCGGACGGTGGTCTACAAGCTCAAGGCGCAGATGGCTGTCAATGACAGCGATCGCTTGGCTCAACTCGGTAGGTGCTCGCCAGTGTGAGTAGAGCGCGGGGGGTTGGAAGGGCGACGCCGACGGCGAGGCGAGGCTTTCTGTGTTTGGGGGGCGGCTCTTTGTGCCATCGGTAACGGTTCGGGCCCCGCCCTCGGGGCCTCTCATGAGCAGTGTCAGAAGGATGTGGTTGCGACCAAGGTCAGAGGTTGGCGGCGAAGCCTCTGTGCGCCTGGCTCCACCGGGTCGCGGGCCGCCGCCGAGCTCTCGAGAAGAAGCGGGAAATGCTGCTGGCTTCAATCGAGGGATTACGTGAGGCCCGAGCTAGGCTGGCGAATGCGGCGCTGGGGCCCCAGGGTGTGCTCGCAGGCGTCAGCGCGGAGCAGGCGGAGTTTGAGGACAAGTGGCGGCATGTTGCCGCTGCTGCTACAGATGCTCGGTGGAGACGAAGTCCCGGCCAAGGAGGTGGCTACATGTTTTGGCAAGTTGCGTGAGCTGGACAAAGCAGCAGCTGCGAAAACAGCAGCGTATCCAG